ATGGGGCATTGTTGTGGAACACTGTGAAGATGTATTGCTGTGATTGGTCTAATAAAAAGCTGAATGGCCAATAGCTAGGCAGGAGAGGTTAGGCAGGATGTCTAGGGAGAGAGAGGAAGAGGAGGAGTAATCAAGGCATGGAATTCACCATCAGACAAACATGTTGGACATGCTGTACTGAAAAAAGGTAAAAAGCCAGATGGCAGAATGTTGATTAATACAAAGAGGTTATTTACATATAAAGGCCAATTGGGGAAGGCTAAAGGCCACGCTTTCATAATTATAAAAAGTCCCTGTGTTGTTCTTTGGGGTCTGGTGATCCAAAGATAGTCTGACAACAAAGCTTGTCACAGGGGTTGAGGGAAAGTGTATGTGTGTGTAACTGGAAAGGGCACCAGGGAAAGGGTGGGCCTCTAAACTGAACTAGTCCAGAGGCCTGGAGCTGTGTAGTCAAGGTTCAGCTCCATTCAGAGCAGAGCAGAAAGCCAACTGGATTCCAGGACCCAGAGGCAGAGAACTACAGGCTTCTCCAGAATTGGATGCCAAAATTTTTCTCGTGTCACCTGAGATACTTTGTCAGATAGAATTTTATAGTTTGTAATTATGCAGTGTTGTAACAGTGTATTGAAAACATACAGAGCGTCTGAAAGTTCTTCAGATCTACCTAGCAGTGACAAAGAATAACAGCTCTAATAGCTGTTACTAAAAAAATATTCCTGCAAACACTTAACATAGTACTAGCCATCCATGAAGTTCGTTTTCCAATTGGTCACTTCCTAGAAGCAACCGACCTTTTCCCATGCAATTCCCTTTGGTAAGACTCCAAAGACGGAGAAAGAGCTCTCTGAGAGAAAGGGCCCTCGATTGTGGTTGTGGTTCCCATACATTTCTATCAGCTCAGTCTTCCAAGAACATTTTTTGGTTTCTGGAACCAAAATAACCTCGTTCTTCCCCTGGAAGCTCTTGGCAGTTGAAGCTGACTTGTACTAATTATGTGACAGCTGTTTTGGGGTATGGCTGCTCATACCTATCATCCCAGACCCAGGAAGGTGGAGGCAGGAAGATTTCTGGTTTTTCAAGTTCCAGGCCAGCCTGGGCTATATAACAAGACCCCGCCCCCATACTTCTTAAAATGCTACTATTTTAACCATAAACAGTCTTGTAAGTTATGTTAAACAACATAGAGGTAAAAATTTCTATATTGTTTTTTAAATTTACTCTAATAACACTATCCTTTCCCAAAACAAAAGTAACCCCTCAGAATTAATAAGGATAATACTTCTTCAAAACTATAGATGGTCAGAATTCTATCCATACCTTAAAATGAGGAACACGGCTTGACAGTCACCACTGAAGCAATTCCCATGAAGCTCCAGTCTGGTTCTGACTTAGGATAACTTAGCTCCTTGCGTCTGGTGTACATATTAAAGCCAGATTAATCTCATTGAGTGCAGTTGAGCTTGCTTCCTGTAAGTGATTCTTCAGCTTGGCTGTATTTGGGAATCATCTGGAGAGCTGTAGAAAACACTGAGGCCTGGTACCTACCCCCACAGGTTCTGATGTCATGGTTTGGGGTGTGGCCTGAACTTTTTGGAATTGTTTTTAAAGTTTCCTCAGAGATTCTAATATGCACTCAAGATTGAGAACCCCTGCTTGGGATTCTCTTTTGTTTCCTGGGTTTTGTGAGGGTGAATGCATTTGTTTTCTTCATGACTTAACTCTTAGCTCTTTGATAAGCCTCCAGATTGCTTGTGGATATCCATCCCTGAAGCTCCAACATGTTTGCCTGTGTGTTGAGTATGTATGCACATAACATTAACAGCCAACACAGAGAGAGCTTCTTACGACGTAGACGCTGCACAGTGTCATATACACACTAACATTTCACCCACAGGAATTAACTGATCTCTCATACACACTAACATTTCACCCACAGGAATTAACTGATCTCTCATACACACTAA